TTCGGACCGTCCCCCGTGTCCCTTTTCGCCTTGCTCGTTTAAGACAACATGGCCGGCCGATCGACCGGGCGCCATTGAGCGAGTTGTCGGAGAATTTTTACAGATTTTTCGCGATTTGCGCTTTTTCGTTGCTTAGTCGAGCGGATATTTAAAAATTCCCGTCACTCGCGACTCGATACACTTCTGCGTCTTGAATATCAAAACGTTCGATACGTCCCCTGTTCGTAAAAATATCGCAAAAATAATGAAATCAGTGTGTTCACGTGACACTTTTTTGGCAGAGAACATCGAACGCGGCAGACAATTTTATTTAAAAAGAGATGAAATAATTATGAAAACAGTGAGAAATAATTTTTACGCAAATTTTATTGAATCGCGACATTTGGAAGGAAAAAACGCTGACTGGCGAGAAAAATATTGGTTTCCGTTTTTAACTCGATCAAGACTTTTTAGTTAACAATGTTGCGTACGCACAATATTCATCACATTATTCAGCTTCAACGTTAACAATTTTTTGTTATTATTTTTCTGGCTGCCCTTCCGACAATCAGAACCGAATACATTCATGAATCTCGCCGTAAATCATTTGAACGACTCGCGATCTCTCGTGGGGTCTTAATAATTGACTCTGTAATCGGACAAACATTCTACGAAAAAAAAAAAACAAAAACAAAAACGTCGGTGTATCGATGTCACCGAGGAGGATCGGGGGGATGATCAAAAAGCGGGTCTGGCGCCAGTGAGAAACGGATGAGAAGACGCTGAAGCCGGGCAGCAACAGCGGGGTCGGTCTGTCGGTCTGTCGGTCGCCCTCATAGCAGTGCCAGAGCGGTGAAAAACAAAAAAGCCTCCTCCCCTGCCTCGCCCCTTGCGCCATAGCTATCTTTGAGAATGGCCTTGAACTTCGAGGGAGAACCCCATTGGCCGAAAAACCGTGTCGCAGTTTTTCCTCGGGGCAGCGGCGGCAGCTCTACGAGCACGAATCACCGGGCGAAACGGCTCTTCTTACAAGCTACTTGTTAGGTAGCTCGGGAAGGTGGAACGAACTCCCCTCCCCCTTTAACCTAACCGGCAACCCCCCTTGAGGTCTTCTTCTTTGCCTTCCCCTTCGGCGATAAGATTTGTGGTTATAGCTTGTTTTTGGAGCGCTCTCCGCGGGGGTCGACAACGTTCGTGGATCTTTTCCTCAAGGAAAAGGGGGAGGACCAAAGCACCTATTAAATGGCCCAGTGAATGATCTCATAATTACATTGTCGGGGTGTAGTTTGTTGGTTCTTTCTAGCGTTGACACACTTAAAACTTGACACATTTTGCGACATCGACGGCGTCTTCTCGTGTCACTTTGTTTGTTTTCACGACACAAGTGCTAGCGATTTTATTACGCGCGACGCGATATAAATTTACAGTAGCATCAATATTATTTATTTATTTATTTCTTTGGGGATCTGCAAATTTTCATCACACACACAGACAAATTTGCCGAATGAAAAACGCTCGTCAATTGTACAAACAAATTAAAACGCGAATCGGGAATTTTTTATCTACCGATGCGTCAATGTCGAAATTCGTGCGAATTGTCTTCGGGAAAGAGATCGCGCCCCGTTTCACTGACCTGACGAAGATATAATATCGAAGCATTTAAGAAAGTGGAGCACCGAGAGTTCCGTGACCCCTAACCATGACCATCAGCCCCATTCTAGTCTTTTCTCCGTCGTCTCCGGCGATAAGATTTGTGGTTATAGCTCCTTACTGTGGTCTACGCGCCACGGGGGTTGGCGACATCGCTTCTCATACATCTCCTCTCTCTCTCTCTTTTTCTTCTTTTTATCAGAAGCTAGCGGAACGAATGTACGTTCAAGGTCGATAAGATAGAGTAACAGGCTTCGAAAGGCCTTGTTTTCATCTTCTCTCAAGTTACACAATATCCATTAAATCTGCAGGATGTTGCATTTCACGTCAACACAAACCAATCTCCAAGTCTCACAGACTTCGCGTTAGATTCAAGAAACGTCTCTGACGTCAACGTGTTCGCTTCCCGGTGCTCGTCCCGAACAGTCGCGATTTATGTGCAAAACCTCCTCACCCGCGCGAATGAAGACGAGAGGACATTAGCCCGTTAAAATGTATTCGCGCGCGAAGTTCACCGACCCCTTCGCAACGGATGACTTTTTATCCTAGGACCGTTTTTTCGCGCTTCCGCGTCTGCCGAAGAAATTCCCCAGGAATTTCGTGAACCATTTCAGGGGCGGGTTTTTGCATGATGTTTCACAGCGTTCGCGACCTTTCCCAAGCTTCTCTCCGCGCCGAGGACGTCGCCGTGGAATTAGGTCGCAGGAGGTCAGAACCGCGCGCTTACGTTCTTCCGCGTGTCCGTCGTCCGGGACGATTTTTAGCCGTCAAGGCCGACGCGCGGTGATTCAGCCACGGTTTTTGCGTAGTACTCGCGAATTCGAGGAGTTTCGATTCGCGCCGATCGTTTTCGTCTCTCGGAGAAAATTGGACGGTTGCATCGCGCACAACCTTTCCACGCGCGGTGGAAAAACCATCCGCGTAATTACGACACCGCGACGTGTCATTACAACGCGCGAGTTACAACATATTTTCTTAACGCACGATGCGTAATGCACAAGATTATCCACTGTGCGTGTTACTTATGCCTTTGATAATTTTCTTACAAAATATTGTTTAATTACAAATTTTATAGCAAGAGCAACAAGGTTAACGGAAAGATTTTCTTCTATTTTTTTTCCTTTTCTATTTTATTGCTGTTTAATTGTTAATTTTTTTTCTTCTTCTTGAAAGTGAACTCTTGCTTGAGAAGAGTAAAATTCGACCTTTAAATTAAAAGATCGAAGACATCCGATTTTTGTTGTCAGACCAATCGCTCTGTCGCTAAATTCAATCGTTTTCAAGAGCAGCATATTTTCCCGTGGAAAATCGCGAATTTTTCCTCGGCTTTACTCCGAATGGCGTTGAGAGCCTGGGTATCGTTAGAGCGTGGCGTTCAACCGGGAGAAGCTGTTGCTCTCCCACCTCGGTGGTGCCCCGCAATAAGCCGAAGAAGGACAGGAAGATTAATCAAACGAGAAAGAGAGAAGGACTGAGGCACCTTGCCCCTTCCCGTCCCCCGGTTGCACCCTTCCGCAACCGGGCCGCGTCTTCCCCCGCTCGGGAAACGACTGCACGGCACGAGCAAGTTGCGGCGGCCCCGTGAGGGGCAGACACGAGGCCCGGCGAAAACGGCCGAGCACGGCCGAACGGTCGTTCGAATCGCGGCTCCCGCGTCAGTGCTGAAACCGCGTCCGCGGTTCACGGTTCACGATATCTCGGCTTTACCGCGGTTGCATTTTTTGTGCATCCCGGCCGGCGAAAGAGCGACCGTGCGCGAAAACAAAAAAAAAAAAAAACAAACCAACATCGAGGGTTGGCGCGCTTTCGGCAGGATCGTCGTCGGCGTAACGGGGAAGAAGCCTCTGCGATCTCGACGTCTCACCACACGACAGAGAGTGTCTTCGTTTTCGTCAACGACGCGGTAGAGAGAGAGAGAGAGAGAGAGACAGAGAGAGAGAGAGTGAGAGAGAGAGAGAGAGAGTGAGAGCGCGAAAAAGGGAGTGGAAGAAGGGGAGAAATAGAGCGACGAAAAGACCGGAGTGACGGGAAGAAGAAACGCGTTTTTCGCGTGCTTCGCGAGAAGTTTGCGTCTTGTGCAATCGAGTGACTCCTCGCTGCATCGTTGTCGCGATTATGGCGCGTTCCGCGAGCGCTCGAATCGCGCCGCGGTATTCGGAACGCGGTCGCGCACGTCGGCACTAGACACACGGGTGTTTCCCTCGAGTGAGTATTTTTCTCTTTCTCTCTCTCGTGTGCGCGCGATCTCGGTGATACTCATGATCATGAGCTGCAACAACGCGACTCGCCGTTTACCCGCGCGATAAATCGTCGGTCGATCGGAGAAGGACGCGAAGAAACGAGAGCGAAGAGAATGACACATTCGAGTTACGTAGTCGCGTCATCTATTGACAGCGCATAATTTCAGGGCGCTGAGAGAAGAAGAGAGAGAGAGAGAGAGACAGAAGCCGGCCGGTGTCACGAACGACGGTGCGCGAGTCAAGGAGAGAAGTGATTTGCGAGCGAGTACATGAGGATACGCGAAGGTAGGTCGAGTGCGACTTTTTCGACAGTTCGGAGAAACGGTAGTTGGAGTAGTGCGAGCGGGTGCGCGACACGCGCCCCGCTGCGCGCGGTCTCGTGGCGATCTCGTACGAAAAAACAACGCGCGTTCTTCGTCGTGAAACTCGCGCGAATACCAAATCGTGGGAGAAGGGGGAGGAGGAGGAGGAAGCGAGAGAAGGAATCTAGTCAACGGAGTTTTACTAAAAGCGTATTTTGCCAGTTTCGTCGTCGCAAGCCCGACCTGGGCGCTCTACGCGGAATCGTCGAAAGAAAAAAAACGTAAACACGCACATACTCGGCCGAGAAGTAGAGCCGCGCGCGCTAGAAGGAAACAACACAAGTGAGACGAGACAACAAGCGCGCGCGCACACACACGGCGCGCGAGTTTTCGATAACGGAGCAAGGTCGTGCGCGGACTTCGGAGCCGTGTTTACGGTGTTTAATATCGTCGGGGTACGCTCTCGGTGCGCGAAGACGCTGGTCGGTCGCGCAGCGGTGTGTTTCACGCTCGGGCGAGCAGAGTTAACGCGAGAGTTAAGCAAAAGCAGAGCAGAGCGCTCGTTCGATGACCGTGTCGCGCGGGTCGGACGTCACTCTCGGCACCGAGAAGGAAAAGGAACGCGGCGGCACGCGCGACTTCCGCGCGCATTGTCCACAACTCGCGACTACGCTCGTGTTATCGTCCGCGTGAAAATCCACGAATGATCGTCGTACGTACGAATTCCTGCGATTCTCTCCGGATTCTTCTACCGGGACTTGACGCGGAACGTAGTGCGCGAGCGCGGCGCGCGATATCGCGCCGCACGCGGTGCAGTGATATCATCGCCTCGGCGAGGTGCGTCGACGTAAGTCGTCGTGTTGTAATCGTAGCTTAAGAAAAATAGAAAAGAAAATTTGAAAGAGACAGACGTGAAGAGAAAACGCGACCGTGATTCGCTGAGTGCGTGTCTTTCGAGTAAACTCCGGGTTAGACATCGAGTTTCGGCGAATCTCGCGAAGTTTCTGTCGCAGTGATTACCGCAAGTTTACATCCATGTATCCTTGGTACCGAGACAGTGTAGCGGCCGCAGCGGCTGCTGGCCTTGGTGGACCAGTTGGTGTTGTGGGCTCCGGATTCTGCGGCACCGGACCTGGCCAGGGTGGGACCACGATCAAGACTGAAAGTGGATACTCCGACTGCATGCTCGCCCTCGACTACGTCCAGAGTAAGGTGAGTGCTGCAAATTTTATTATGGGGAACCGTAATTTAAATCCGGTTCTCTCTCTGTGTGTGTCACGATGACATTGTGTTTGAATTCTTGAATGAAATCGATACATCAGTCCGGACTGTAATTTAGATTTAAACAAATTCCGAGAGCTTAGAAATTTAATAATTGAACTTTGGCGTTTGGTGGAAAAGTCGAATGCGTGAAAAAATGTTCAAGTGACTTTTGAAATTCCCGAGCGTTTAGAATGAATTCTTCAGACTTTCCTGATTTGCTTTTTAAGTTAAATAATTGTTGCGTCGCAAAAAGATAATTTACGGACGTTATTGCGTCTCGCAGTATTTTCCGCTCGGTTTGTTGTTCGGCTCGCAAAGTTATCGCCGCTATAATTCTCTTCTTTCGGATATTTATTACGACGTCGGGGCACAATATTACTATCTGTCTTGAGAGAACGGTATGTAAACGAGAGAGGAATCCTTTCGATTCTCTATCGGATAGCTTATTAATAAACTGGTCGCTTGCTTACAATACACACGTACAAGTTTCCGCGGTAATTATCGTAAGTTTCTGGAATTCTGTACGCAAACTTCGAAATATCATCTCGCATGTGTTACATGGTGTACAAGAGAAATTTGTAGCGAAAACACAGTTCTTAAATACGATCAATAATTTACTCAAAGAATACGCAAAAAGATTATCAGAATTCTTCTAAAAATTATTTACATTCTAATTTTTGGAAACGAGATTCGGCGTCTAAGTAGATTTGCGGTACGCAATATTCACGTGAAATTTCAAGAGACACGTTTAAAAAGAACAATAAAAAGGTCAAAGTAGACATTCCGGAAAAAAAAAGTTATTACACACTAAATGTCACGTTTGACCTGTTAGATATTATATCTGTCGCTATTCATCTCGCGCGGCTCACGCGTTCACGTTTGCATGATGATGAAGCGGCGCGCATCATCGCTCACATGCTAATATCTCATTTCGATCCATTAAATCGACTCATCGGGACTGAGAAAAAAGACAATACACAGAAAAACAACATTAACCGGCAAACAGGCGCAAGAAAAGGAGATGCACCTGTGTGAACGCTAGTTAAGGAGATCAATGATAATTGCGTGTGACAGATCGGTCGCGTTTGACGTAGCCGATTCGACGAGTAATTTGTTCTCTAATGAGCCGCGCGCGCGGCGTTCACATACTCGCTTTCGTTTCGATACGAAACAAACATATTAACCGACCGGTCAATTACGCGATGTAGCGAACTCCGTTTTTTTTTTGTTTTTTTTTTTTTTTTTTCCCGCACTTTTGTACCATATATTGTCACCTCGGCCGCAAAAACCGCGAATAAGTAACGTCTGGCTCGTTTGTTTTTGTTTGTTTGTTTTTTGTCATTGATTACACTCGCGATCGGTGCAATAACAACCGTCGCAATTGCTCGCGGATGAAGATTAATACCTGGGTAATCGCTCGGTGGCAATGAACTTGATATCGCGAGGGAAAATTATATATCGTGCTTATGTGTGTGTGTGTGTCGCGTTAGTTGTATACATTTCCACCTATATTATTTACTCTATGAGACTCGCGTGAACGAGCACATTATTATCGTCCTTTGAAACGTTGATGTCCTCGGGCGCGAAGGCTATTTTAAATAACGTTTTTTGCACCGAGTATTTTAGGTTTTTTGTTTAATTACTGTTAATATTGTTTAATTATAATGCGATCACTGTGACTTTTCAAGTCGCTGTTGTGTGGCGCGAAAAAAATACGCGACTTCGAACTCCACGTATTTTCGTTCGCAAGATTGCGGTCTTGTATTTACCGACGGCAAGTGAGCAAAATCGCGACCCGAGATTGGGAAGATCGTGTATCGGTGCAAAAATGTGACACCAGACGAAATCTGACCGGCGCGGTAAATCGGTTCTCGTACAAAGTGGAATCTTCAAATTTATCGAAATTTTTCAACCGTCGTGTATATTATTTCAAAATTCGTTTGTTCTTCGATTTGCTTATCGACGCGCCCTGTTTTCCGCGCGCGCGCGCGCGCGATATTCATTCAGAGTTACGACCGTAATGAATTATCGCGCTAATCTTTCGATTTGCTTCGTGTACTTTCTTGCGAACGCGTCCGCGGAATGGCGAGCAAGAAAGACTGACGAACCCGTGCCGCGACTAAATCGACAAGAAGGTAATCCGGCGTGACAACCTGTGAAAATGATTTGCCCGTAAAAACGCCGTCGGGACGCGAGTATTGTCCGAGTGCGGTCTAGGAAATGGTACAACACAAAGTACCGTTGACGGTAGAAAAATTTGGACGAAAAAATTCGTCCGTTTCCGAGGATTTTCTCGCGCAAAAAATTATACGACGCTCAACTGTCGCGCGGCGCGGCCGTCCGGAAAACAACCAAAACACGTGAAAAAAATTGGTGCCTCAAATATCTGCAAGCGATTTGTTTTTTTCTGTCGCGCATTCTTTTCAAACACGGACGAAACGTGCCGCGATCAAAATGCCCCTGCAGGTTTGACAACACGCTGGCTCTCCAACCTGGTGATTTCTCGCAGGTGACGGTCGCCGATTATCTTTCGCGCGATATGTGGTTTACGTGATTTTATCTTTCATCTGAATTGCACACCTCTCTCTCGTAAAATCGCGGTAAAAATACAGCGCTCCGGTTATACGTCCGCAATTGTCACTTTCTCGCGTAATAAGTGACGCTTGTGTTTACACACAAATCACAGGCGGCGGAGAAAAAAATGTCCGAGCACAGGTTATTCGACCATTTGACACGACGATTCCGATTCTATTTTCATTCTGTGTTCGGTATCCGAGGTTTTTGTTTTCCTGTCGTTACACGCAATGATAATCGTTTAATAACCACCTATGGACGCCATTAATAGTTAACGACGGCAATTAAACGAAGTGTTGACGGCCGGGTGTCCATTAACGAGTGATTAAAATCTAGAATCGATCATAACAGCGACTCGTCAGATCGTAACTTGCGTCCCCGGTTGATGTAACATGTGGACATTATTTATATTTTTCACGCTGCTCTTTGCCTCATTAGCGCACTTTTCTTGCGCGCATTACTCGTGTCATGTTTCATCATTCTTTTGTGTTACAAGAGTATTTTTTTTTTTTTTTTATGAGTTTTTCCTGTTGTAACTCGAGATGTAAGAAACTGCGCGCGCGCGCAATTTGAATTATTGAATCATATACACGTTGCTAAACTGTAACACACAAGCGGGAGTCGAATTTCTCGATAGATCTCGAGGAGCGTGCAAGCGCGTGCGGATAATTTATAGCGCATTTATCCGCCGTAATCAGGAGGAAACTCGCAGAAGGAGAGAGATTTCATTCCGCGATTTAACGAACCACATCCTATAACGTTGTTACCAACAATTATCGGACCATCGAGCTGTGGTTTTTTTTTCGCCGCGGGTCGATGTTATATTACCCGCTCGCTGCCGCGGGTCAGCAGACTTTCGTTTCAGCGCGCCCCGTGTGCGCAATAGATTTTTCTGCCGATACGTCGATCGGGCAAATTATCAGACCGGGCGCGAAAATTAACATTTCTCTTTCTGCTTGCCGCGCGTAATTGCCACAACCCGCGACGATTACACACAGGCGTTTGTTTTAATTACACGTCCCGCTCGCGACTCTCTTCGTTGACTTTTCGCGGCCTTTTTAACAAATTTTCCCCGCAAATAACTTGTCGCGGCTGGATGCGCGGAGAGAGATGCGCGAACAGATTATTACCGGGAAAGCGCGACGACAGCTGATTAGAAAAATAATTACGTACGCCAGAGAGAGAGAGAGAGAGAGAGAGAGAGAGAGAGAGAGAGAGAGAGAGAGAGAGAGAGAGAGAGAGAGCCACGGGGCCGTGACTAATTGCCGCTCCCGCGGCGAAGGGGAATTCGGGTTTCTCACGTATTTATGATAATAACCCGCTCCATCGATATCTAAGCGTCCTTCTGTTCGCGTCGTTGCGCGTCCTATCTCTCTCTATTATTTCCTCTCCGTCTCTTTCGTTCTCTGGAAACGCCGCCGCTTCGTTCGCGATCCCTTCACTGCGCGACTTGAACTCGCGGCGAGCGTGTTTTTTCGTCCATTGGGAAACGCGCGAGGCAAGAAAAGCCGGCAATTCTTACACTTTGCATGCCGGTGACGTAGATTTACGTGTTCCGTGCTTCTGCCCCCCCTCCCCCTTTCCCCGTTCCCTCACGGTACACGGCCAAGTAACGTTAATCTATCTTCCCCACTTGTCTTCTCGCGCCTAGCTTCTCCGCTCGCTATATACCATCTCGGTATTAAAATTTTTAGCTGCGCGCATTGTCCGCACGTATATAAGATTGGCAAAAAAGACCGTATCGCGAAATTTCTGTGCTGTTAAACAAAGTAATTACAAAAAATATTGAGTAGCTACGACGGTTACACAGACAAGAGTGAGTGAGTGAGTGAGGTGATTTGAAGGGAAATAATTTTCATTACGTTTGAAGATCACGGTTTTAATTAAATGTTTCTTAAATGTATTTTGTATCACGATTGTCGCCTTCTCTTCGTTGAAAAGTGACTGTTGCAAAATTGAATTATCTCCTTTTCAAACCCATCTTTTCTCGAAGCTTCTTTTATCGAAGACAAAACGCCACAATCAACTTCTTCGCTTCTGTCAATGCCGCAAAGCTTTTTCCCCGGATTCGCAATGTTCACGCTTCGATTGGACGCTTTGGCGGAATTGTCTTATTTCGAATGAACGCTAAAATGGTATAAAGTGTCGCGGAAAAACTGTCGCTCCGCGACAGTGTGTTCGGTGTTAGCGAACGGCGGTTTGTGCTTCTTGTCGGCGGCGGCTCGCGAACGTGGAAAACGGAGATGGTTCCATAAAGACCGAACGAAAGAGAACTTCATCGGCTCCTCTCTCGAGTCTGGGCAAAAACGTCCTGAAAGTGTAACGCGCCAACCGATTTCCCCTTCGTCCTGTCTCACCACTTTTCCACGTAACGA